AGCATCAAACTCTTCTGGTGAGCGTTTATTCTCCGAGACCCTGACATGTCCTAAATGTGCTCTGCTTAATGTGCACACAGAAGAAACATATTTACCCCAAGACAATAAATGGTATTTTATTGTATTTATGACACTGCTCAGAATAAGATAACAGTAATCTCATTCTGTCACGGTAATTACCACCATTAATTTATGAATTAGCCCTACAGTAATTAACCAGCTTCAGTGTGGTGAGGTGTAATACAGTTACACGCATAACCTCTGGAGTGTGCATCTACTTTTAGCTGTTGAATCTGCAGTAAATTAAGTTTAACTGAGGTATGCGCTATATTATATTTCACACCATGCTATGTCTGCTGTCACTTGCACTCAGCCCATAGCAACACATTATTGACCAGTAGTTGTAGAGCAAAGCACAACTTTCACACACGTTAGCATCTCTTCGTGATTGTAATCACTGCCTGTGACTTGATCCAACTTGCTGGTGTGTGAAGGTTTAAACATGATACACATTCTGTGGACCTGACAGAGCCCATCAAGATCACTTTGTTCTTACAGTGGCCTGGTTTTGCCAGCATATTACAGTACCTCTATACTTGATTGGAGTCCTTCAAGCACAGTAAATTTAAATCGGCTGGCTGTACAGGGTGTGATTTTCTAAGTATGGATGGAAACGGGTGAGAACAGGACCTGCCTGTGTTTCAAATTTCTACCGTTGCCAGATCCGGAGATCTTTTTTTTTTGGTCAATTTGACAGTAATACAAGGTTGGATAACAACTCAAATACGTATAATTTCAGTGTTTGCATTACATTATAGTTTATTGCTACCCAAAGGTTTGAGAACGTAAAGTTGAGTTTGTGTGTGCTTGTGCCAGCGGACTTATCTTGAAGGTATGAATTAACTCCACTGTAAAACAAAATTAACCTGGCCCACTAGCTGTTTTGCAGCCTGTATTGAAAAGGAGGCAGAGCATTCTTGGTGAATATATTGGCAGTCTCCAATAAACAGTTGTTTGGTTTGTCATTGTCAAGTGTTTAGGTAATGGAAAGGTAATTCCCTGCCTGTTTCAAAATGTTGTTCACCGTTTCCATTTATACAGTTACCAATATCTTTGAATTGCACAGACCTGAACAAAAGGTGCGATACAAATGGGGTTTGATTGATCGACTGATTGTCATGTTCAGAATCGAGTAAGGGAGGCACCGGAGTTGGCCAATCAGATTCGACCAGGGGGTGATGCTACTCCCGGTGCAGCCCCTGGCAAGAGGCTATGTTTTGTAAATGCTTTATAAAATGTTGTCTTTAGTCTCCTTATGTTGTGCAAATTTACATTTTGAAATGTGATTGGCGTGCTCTACAACTGTGCTATGCGTTTTCCCAGTCTACTTGCATTTTAAGATGGCATGCTTATGTTGTTGTAACGTTTGAAATTTCCACAATTTAGTCTTTATCCTATCGTGCATCCGGCAGGTTTGTCAGCAGCTCAGATGTAAAACATTTCACATCATTTACAGAAAAGATTAAAAAGGTTATCAAAGACTACCCTATGTGTGTAAATATGACAAAACCTCTTTATATTTGCAACTAATGAATGCAACAAAAAAAAGACTAACTGGTTCTTTCCTGTTGTATTTATTGATTTACATTTGTAATTCAGTCTTCTGCTCTATTCTGTGAAACCTCACCTGTAAACAGCCAATTAAGGCTCAGCAATGACAAGAGTTTGGTAGCAGCACTGGCTCCTCTGTAATCACCACAGTGAGGTCTCCAACCTGTACACATTGATCCCGTATTGATCCGTGTATGAGAAACTCTGGTTCAACCCAGTTCTCTGTTCTCACTCTCCACTTCCACTCAATATTCTGACTGAAGGGAGGCAACTGGATGGTCAACAGCTGACTAGCACAGATAGAGAGAGAGAGACAAAGAGACAAAGATAAGAAAATAAAAAGATAGGCCAGTTGCCAGTTCGGTGCAGCAATAACAATGATCTTGTCAAAAGCACAACTTCCCAGCTTCACGATACAGTATTTTTGAGATTCCTCTCTACTTTGCAACTACGAGGAGCGGGGGCAGCCTTATAAACTTCAATCATTGATGAAGACCTCCCTTTACACTGTTTATTCTCGCCGGTTGTGAGACATGTCAAATATGCTTACTTTGCCTTTATAGAGCAGCTTTTGCTGCTCTTGTAGTGACAGAATAAGGCTACAAGGAAATGTTCCTCCTCCATCTTAGAACATCAAAAGGTCTTTGAATTGCTTCTGTCGCCAAGAAAGATAAATGTTGTGTTGTCGCGTCTACCAAACCCATGTGTCAATTCTGTCAGCCTGGGAGAGGCTTTGTAACAAAATTGTTTACTCTTCCTCTTGAATAGCCCGATCAAACTTTTACTAGTGTGCTGGATTGTGGTAAAACTGCTCTGCATCAGCAAAATGTTACAGTGGCTTAACACTACTTTTGTTATGAGCAAAGCAGAGCCTCTCCTGTGGCGCACTTCATTTTTTTTTTACATTAATTCCGGCACCATTTAAAAATGTAAATGTACGTTTCCCGTAATGAGGGCTCCAATAGAATCAATGCAAACAAGTCGGTTTTCCATAGTGAACGTTTGCCTGAAAAGCAACTGGCGCTGGTGATCAATAAACCCAAATGAGCCTGTCAATTGGAGAACATGCAAGCTTTACAATCTAATCAGATGTTAAGAACTGATCACAAACAACAATAGACAATTGACTGGATGTGAAACTCACCACGGAAAGCATTAAAGAATACATTACATTCTTTCACCGCTGTATTTTACTTGACATCTGAAATGTGCACAAACATCGTATAACCATTCAACTTTCTTTTGATGTGCAACATTCATCCTCTCGGAGCGTCGTAGCTGACACAAATGCTCACCATGACGATATCCCACGCTTTTGCTGCCTGTGTCAACAGCATCCTTTCATCTACGAGCATGAAAAGTGTGCTGGCAGCTTTTTTGCCTCATTTAAGACGAACGGATTCAAGCTGATTAAGGTGTCAAAGCAGATGGCATTGTTTCATGTACACATAAGAGGATTATATGAACTTCCCCAGCCTTTTTTTGATATCATTCTTATATCATGCAAAAAAAACAACAACACACACATGGTATTGTTTTATGTGTGGATGCAATTAGATGGAGAAGGAGAAAAATGCCAGAGTGAAAGAAAGAATTCAGAGTCGGGTGTGGCATTTTTAGTCAGCTCCTCTCACCGTCCTTAAAAGATGTTGATTGCTGTATTCCTACATCTGTCTTCCCAAGATAGAAACACACACCTTACAAAGAGACAGTCAGCACTAACATTTCAAAACAATGAAAAAAAACTAGCAGCCAGCTGGAGAACATTTGATCATTTCAGGATTGCTGTCCTGTCAAAGCCACTAAGGAACTAAGACATTTGTCTTTCTGATGTTTACACTGCCTGGAGGATGTGCAGTGGTGGGAACCATCCATTCATTAGGATTTGTACAAACAACCGATGTGAGGAAATGTAGCAGATAATGGAGTAGATATGGCAAGTTTGGACTCAGTGTGCAATCTGTAAGGAAAAATGCACACTCGTATGTTTTTATCTAAAGCCATCACCCAAAGAGTACAGGTAGGCTGTAGTAATCACATAGCTTTCCACATTCTGTAGAGTAGCCAGTAGGTTGATCGCTTGGCGAGTTATAGTTGATTAATGTATGTAAACTTGGTACCGAACAGTGGTTACATAACCCTATGAATGAGCCACAACTTAACCATGAGCAGACGTCGTGCGCTCCGATTACCAATAGCGCTACGCCCCTGGCACTCAGCTATTTGGCTGGCAGCCGACGCGTATGGAGAGCTGATCAGCAAAGTGACATGCACTCTCGTTGCGTCTCCATGTTTTATAGGGCCAGACCAACCAATCAGACAATGGCATTTTTATGATTGGTTGAATTGACAAGGACAAAATAAAACACTTTATTTTTGGTGTGACAAGAGGATACTTGGGACATTGCCCATGCCTGGAACGGGCCACAGATTAAACAATTATCAAATGCATGCATCCATCTGTGGTTGGTGAGATAACCTCTAAATGCGTTGTGCTTCTTTAACTGAAATTCAGTCATTGTCAGAAGGGCAACTTGTGCCGGCAAAATGTCTTCTGTGACTCGCAATAATGTGTCGTGTGCTTTTTTATTCTGTGGAACTTTTAACAATGCCTGCTCTGTTTGAGTGGTTTGTGTGAGGTTGAAAAAAAAGGAAGAGAATAAGAGTACAGTACTAGCCTACAGAAGAATGCCTTAGAAAAATATGTGCTTTTTAAAATCTTTTTATCTTACAAGCAACCAGACTATTTCTGCTTAGTGTCTCTCCGCTCTGAGATTCCACCGGCTGCGGGGTGTGATTGTGGAATTTGCCTTTGATTATAAACTGGCTTTCTGCGAGCCCCTACTCACCACTGTCAGTATTCATGGTCCGCATCTTAAAATCTGAATTAGAGAATGTTCTTTCATGAAATGTGGCGTGTCAAGCACAAAAATATTTTTCAACACTGAAGATGCACTTGAAAATACGCCGTATGTGTTCTTACATAGGATACTATACAATCATATCATGCATGCTGTACCTTACTTGGAGTGACCTACATATGTCAACCCATTGGACTGGTGTGCTATTACTTAAGCTTCTGTAAAGGATAGTAAAAGGGATTACTGTGCTGCTGCCCCTCCCCCCAAAGACACACACAAGCACACTAGATAATGAACCGATTTAAATAGCAATAAAATGTGTGTGTGGAAGAATTATACAAGAGGACAGCCTCTCACCTCATTAGGAATAATTTTGGTAGATTATAGGCTGGCAGTCTTGATGATTCTATAATGAACCTGTCAAAAAGATGTACTGCTCTTGTGCACTGTATGTTGCTTTTGTAGCTCACTGGCCTGGAATATTGTATTTAATACAACCATATTTTCTTTTTTTCCTTTTACTCTTAGCGCCAAAGGAAAACAACGGCATCAGTAAGAGGACACTGGACCCAGACAAGGACTCGTCAACACAGGACACGGAGAGCGAAGTCCACTCCGTCACCACCGTCTCACCAATGAACATCCCCAACCACCAGCCTGTCCTCAAGGGCCTGCTGCTTCATGAGCACCTACTTTCAAGGGATTTCCAGGGGGACCAACACTTTTTTAAGAGGGATGGCTCTGTGGCTGCATATTCCACCATGCCAGGCTCTGTGTCTACCTCAGATGCAAGGGACCCTGTCACTCAGCTGGTGCCCCACGAGGATGCCCCAGCCTTTTCAGACATTGCCACCACTGCCACTGTGGCTGCCACCTCCCCACTGACCACATTTTCTCCCACAACACCAAGGCCGCCCATATCTGGTCCTCAAAAGAAGTCCTCTAAGACAAGGGGGGCAGACAAGGTCGAGCCAACAACAGACTCCCTCACCACTCAAGTGACACCAAATCATAGAGGCTCAGTCAGCGAAAACCCAGTGGCGTCTTTATCATCGCATAGAAGTCGGCCTCAAATTTGGAGTGCGCCTCCAATAGAAGCGACCCTGGCCCCCTCCTCAAAGCGGATGGAGGAAGGAGAAGCGAAGGAAACAGCGCTGAAAAAGAAAACCAGCCCCGATCATCCCCTCCCCAACCTAACTTCCAGAGAGGAAGGTGCCAACACGACGTCCACAACTGTAATCACCACCATCACCACCATGCAAACAGCAGGTAGGCATGTTCATGTTTCCTTTGACTTTCAAAGATGACATTCAAATGACTTTATTAAATAAATAGCAGCCGCATCCAAACAACTTTTGCCCTGATGGAAATTCTAAATTGAGAGTACTTCCTCCCCCAAAGATTAACCTCATCCGTCCCAGAAGGCAATACAATTAAGCATCAGGTCATCAACATCGCCAGTGTTCATTTCGCATGCTGCACACCACTATTCATCTCTCCAGTGGGGATAACAGAATCGCTCATGTGTCAGAAACAATCTGATTTTCCCTGATGTGTCCTGCCTGTCCTTTCCAGTGGCCACAGAGGGCTGACGGGCCCAGATGAATAGTGTCGGGGAGGAAATCTGCAGAGATAGTTAGAGGGTTATGTGGCCACAGTGACACAGGTGTGCTGTCAGTGAGATCAGTGGTCCGGGAAAAAGGGAATCACTTGTCTTTTTACTGTCTCCCACAGAGCCATGCAGCCTGAATTTCACTGACCCTGAGGGCAACATCGAAATCCTGCAGCAGCTTGAGTCTGGAGCGGAGTGTAACTACCTGGTTACGGTCTACCTGGGATATGGCATTGAGGTTCAGGTCAGTGCTAATGGCTCACTGTGATGTTGTCCCTGATGAGCAATTTTAAAACTATCCATTCAACTTCTGATAAAGTTCTAAATTGCATCTTTAAACCAACTTAATAGATTGTTTTAGGCACTGTAAAACAGTAACTAGTTACTCTCCTTTCCACTGGTTTTAGTCTACACCAGTAAGGAATAACCGGACTCTTGCTCTGATATGTTCACTAGCTATTTGCTAGTTTCCATTTCATGCAGTGCAGTTAGGGTACAGTTGGTTTATCAGATATTTTTCACAAAAAAAATAGTAAGAGCAGTGATACTTGACCAAAACAGTAACGTTGCAGACCATAAAAGAAAATAACAATGAGCTGAAAGATGCCATAAACTCAGTAGAGCTGAGAGGAACTGCAGAATCAGGTGTCTGAAAGTAAAATAAGAAAAGGTTCAAACAGTCAAGAGCATTTTGGTTTAGTGCCAGCTGTTACAGTATCCGCTGGTCTTGTGTGGGTTGACGGAGATAGACAGGCAACAAATTGCTGGGGTGAGTGGGTAGATGGGGGCACAAATGATTGGGTCTGTCTCAGGTTGAAATGCTTGCTTGGTAAGTCTTTTCACAAAAAGGTTATAAAAATTAACTGTCAGTGCTTTCGTTCCCTGGCATTTGCAATTTCTCAATTTCTCATTTACCACCGGGGACTTTTAAATGTGTGAGCTTTGTCTTGCTGCCTCTGGAGGGCTAAGATAAGTCTTGACAGAGTATATGTGTTTGTATTGGTTTTTCTCTGAAAGCTTCCTCTGGGTAAAGCAAGTAAATCTTAAACCACATAGGTACGTGCACACTTACCTGCACATGTTCATGCACACACACACACATACTTGCATTTCATCACATTTGATATGTCAGATCTCAACTTGCACGTCCTCTCCAGTGAATAAAAACAGCAAGGGACGGGAACTTATAGACATTTTATCCTCACACATCTATTGTACCAACAAACAGCAGGGAGCCATGTGTTTCAGTACCACCATGGGGGCCACAGTCTCCCTCCCTCCTACAGCTGAACTGATAGCGATCTAACGGCAAACTACACACACAACTGCTTAGCACGACTGATGAGAATGACGAGCCATGGTCTCTTTGTTCCTTCCTAGCGAATGAAGATGGAAAGGGAGAAATTTAAGTGAAGTATGTGTCATACCGTCTCATCAGCATTGAGTGAAGCTTCTCTGCCTGGAGGCTATCCAGGTCCCAAGGTTTTAAAGGAATAGAGGAGATCAGAAATTAGACTTGCAGATGAGCAGCGTGCACAGAAAATGTTATGCAAGCAGGACAGTTTTTACACAGGGATGACTTTTAGTTATCAACAATTCAGAACCTCCACACTCACCTGCTGCAGAAAGAGATGGACACTCATGTAGCTGTAGTCTCATTGGATTTGCCCGTTTGATAGGACTGATCCGACATAGGTGCACACACACGTATGTAGATATACACAGATAAAACAGGATTTTAGTTTTATTTTTGACTTTGCAATATTGATTATTGCACGAGCAAGAAAAAGTGACATCTTTTTAAAATTGTGTGTATAGACACGTGACTGCAGTGTCGTAATCGTAAAGATAATGTGACTAACAACAGATTGACTGAGCAGCATGCAATGCAATATTGTTTTTCGGAATGGCAAACAGCAGAACACATGCCAAATAGATTAATGAAACAGCTTAGACCAATGCTCTGTCCCTTCACTGTGAGAGTCCTATACTTCCAGTTGTGTTTCATGCATGTCATTTCAGACACTAATCCTTTAAATCATACTATCCAATAAGAAAAGAGAGAAGAAATGAACTGTTGATGAAGCGAATAAACTGATTGCTTCCACTTTTCTGATAAGCTTGTATGTCGATCTCTGGAGGGATCACAGACTCTCCTCTGCCAATTCTCTGGTGGGATCATGGCCAGTTTGCCGATTTTTGGCAATAGATTTAGTAGAAACAGAAATATACGTCTTAGAATTCACTTTGGTTCTGATATCATTTAACATGTTGAGCACTATGCATTAGGAGACTTAGGAGGGATATTTTGGTTGAGGTGCACACTCTTGTTTTGGCTGCCTGCCTCTGCTGTGGTAGGGAGTCATTATAGCTGACATACCAGCAGTTTGCAAGGGCAAAGGAAGGAAATTTGTTGGAGGGAAACTCTGAAGGACAGATGAGGTGACTGTGTGATAAATATTTATATTGATGTATGGTTCAGTAAAATATAATATAGGCACTCAGAGAACCCTCTGATTTCCATCAGGAATCACATTGGTGGGGAATAAATAAGCAAGATGAGACCTTTTCGGTGCTTAGTCAATACTCCTTTCAGCAGTCTGGCATCTTGCAGGAGAGGGAGGATGAAAAATGTATCAGGAGAATTTACTGCCCTCAGCCTGACTCTACAACCCCTCTGCCACAGCTAACAGCAGATAATGCATTGCTCCATCTGGTGATTCTGGACACATTACAATTTATTTGCAGAATAACTGCACAAATATGAGGAGGCTGATGCAACACCAACTTTCAGCCCCAGAGATAAAGTAAAACACAAATAATTATTTATTTAAAAGGCATTGCACTTTAGTGTGCATTGCACATTAGTAAAGTTAACATGTCAAAAATGTGCAGGATGTTTGAATAGGTGGGGTGCAAATTATATAATGTTAATTGTTAAGACATAGATTTTTTTGTCTGACATTCTGAGCTATGATATCAAATTTAGCAAAGATGAATAACGTTGAAGTGGAGCGGGTAACTGTAATATGGGCTCAGTTTTGCCCTTATACTGTCGGGAGGTTTTTCAATATAAATATAAATAATAAAATATAAATAATCAATCTACCACCCACTTGAGTATATAAAGTGTCTAGACCAACTTGACCTTTTTTATTTCATGGACAGGTCAAAAGAGCTGTGTCACACATGTGAAAATAGTTTATTTATCCATTTTGTTTGCTAGTGAAATGTCGATATCTTAAGCACATCTTATTCCTGTCCTCTATATCCATCTACGCAGTCACTTTGCAATAAGATTTTAGTTGAGGACAGATGGAGGTTTTCCAGAACTGGGCTGAGGTATTAAAGTACTTAAAATCTGTTTTGGAGCTTTTTTCATTTGATCAAGTAAATCCGATGGGTTGGCTAGCTATCAGCTCTTTCCAGGCCATCTGTCCCACTCCGATTTCTCCGTCTCCTCAGCTCACTGATCTACCTGCCTGGGTCTCAAGGAGTTACTACCTGAGGTTCTGCACAGGTTGTCCCAGCTCTGTTTCATGGTGGCCACATCCCTGCACTCTCGCTGAAGGGAAAATGTATTGTGTTGGGGAGGACTGAGAGTGGTTGATACATTTCAGGGGTTTACGAGTGCAGACTTGGCCAATTTCTCCCGTTGCCACAAAGGCTGATTGGGGGAGTGTTTCCATTTTCTCACAGGTTTAAAAGGAGCATCATTCAAAAAGATGATGAGGGAGGATTTTGAGGTCAATACTGTATAACTCATTTTTTTCGCTCTTCTCCATCCCTCTCCCAATTCTTTCAAACTTTTTTCCATTTCCACCCTGCTCGCATTTATCAGTTTCTCTATCTGTCCAGTTCCTCTACTCCGTCTCAATCAGTTTCAGCTCTGGTGGTGAACCATGGGGATGAATTAAACAGGACACCGCAACACATTTAAATCACTCTAGCTTGACTTGCTATGTGATTATTTTTCAAATCAATACATTTTATTCAAGCGTCTTGATTATGTTAGTTTAAACAGCAAGTGACCACCAAGTGAAAGAGAACACAACGTTTTCTTCGTTTGTTTCTTTAATTGAAGCTTATAAATATCAAACAAATGCCTCCAGTCTAAGTGGCGAAAATTATAGCTTCCAAGTTTTTCATCCTCAAATGAGTAAATATTGTTTCAGAAGTTTCCAAGCGAGACAAAATAAAAACTTAAGAACCGAACATCTAATGAGCTCAAGGCCGCATGTGCTAATGAGTTAGGAGGGGATAAAGCACGGTCGAGGTGGATCGCCAGTGAAATGCCCCTTCAAGGATTGAGATGTTACCGTGCATGCCAAGTGTTTATAGCAAACGCCGACTTCAGGGTTAACGATTGGTATTTGATACTGCTTCTGTGACTACGCTCCTCTGACTCCAATCAATAGCCATGTTAATAAGCAGCAGAAATACTTGACACACAGCCTCCTTTCTGTGCTGGGTGAATTGCTGTATTGATCCTGGCAGTCCCATTTTAATTCCAGTATTTCTTACAAAAGAAGAGAATGCTCATGGCATTGACCCTGGCCGAGTCTGACGTGTGTGTGTGTGTGTGCGTGTGTGTGTGTGGGGGTGGGGGGGATTACATTTGTTTATTTGTTTTGTTGGTGTCTAGTGACCGCCAGTGCTCTCATCAAATGAAAGGGCCACAATAAAGTGTTATGGGATTTCCACCGAGGGCAAGTCTTGACACTTTTGTAAAAAAACGTTTCCCCTTTAAAATAGCACTACAATGATGCCTCTAATCCTCCCTCCTCGCATCTTAAACGTTGTATTAACGCACACGTTTTGGCCATTCTCTGACTCCCCAGCAGCACAAACCGACGCAACACGTGACAGATGTGTCGCAGAGAAACTGAGCCTGACTGAGTAATGGAGGCCAAGACGGGCTCGCTGCCTTTAATCAACTTGAGATGAGGCAGAGGGAAGCCTTCATCATGTTGTGCCTTGGGGGAGTAAAGGAGGACATAAAGAAGGCCAGTTTGATCTTGATGAGCTTTTTAGGGTGCCGGGGCTTTTCTGAGATGAGTTTTCATGGGGCCTAGTCATCCCGGGAGGAATCCTTTCAGGTGACACTAATTGCTCCTCCACCCAGCTAGCTGTCAAAAGAGAGAAAACTCTGTCTGCCAGAAAACTACGTTCTCTCCAAATCTCTGTGTCATGATGAAGCACGCTTGAAAATATGTAGGGTAATTAGCAATGCATGAATTTAAA